GAGCATGCCGGCCCAGCACGGGTTTGATTCGGTGGAAGTGCTGGGCTTCTGGCCACGCATTTGCTGGCCGCTCAAGGCAGGTGTGGCTGCAGCACAGATACTGGTGGCATTAGGCTGTTCAGGAGCGAAATTCCGGTGAGATTACAGCACTTACTCCATCCTCTGAAGACTAGGCTGTTTTCCATAGACTTCAGGTTGGATTGCTTGCTCTTCTGTACAGAAGAGATGGTGGCCTGGGTCTGGGCAGCACTGTCTGATCCTGAAGGTCTTGGCATATACAGTCGTCTCCTATAGCACAAGGCTGTTGGTGCTAGTTGTACCTTTTGGATGAAGTTTGTCCCTGTGCCTTGCTCTCAAGGTGACAGGAGGCCCAGAGCACACAGCTCTCAACGTTCGATTAATTCTTAGCTCGTGCTCTGTAGGCATTGTTGTTATGAACGTAGATAGAGAAGAGCCTCTGATCCTTCAAGTGATACGTGCCTGGTACGGGCTCTCCAGGCTGGTTTTGTGTCAAGCCTGGGGGGTTTCCTCCCTGTTTACCCCGACTCCACGAAGGGGGGCAGTAGTCACAAGGTGTGATGTGCCAATCTAGTGAATGGCTTCTGACACTAGCTGTGCTTTGTCCGTAGCTGGCCACCGTGGCACTTTACTTCACGTACTCTGCGCTGGAAGAGGAAATGGATCGCAACAAGGACAACCCAGTCTTTGCTCCTCTGTATTTCCCCCTAGAGCTTCACCGGAGAGAAGCATTGGTCAAAGACCTGAAATATTTCTATGGAGAAGACTGGAAAGAGAAGATCCAGTGTTCAGAGGCAACTCAGCACTATGTGGACAGAATCCATCATGTGGGACAGCACGAGCCAGAGCTGCTAGTGGCTCACGCTTACACACGCTACATGGGGGACCTCTCAGGTGGCCAAGTGCTAAAGAAGGTAGCCCAGAGGGCCCTGAAGTTACCCACTACTGAGGAAGGGATCCAATTCTACATGTTTGACAACATTTCCAACGCGCAGCAGTTCAAGCAGCTCTACAGAGCGAGGATGAATGCGCTGGACTTGGACAAGAACACCAAGGAAAGGATCGTGGAGGAGGCCAACCGAGCCTTCAGATTTAACATGCAGGTACTAAATCCCTTGAGCCCCTGTATGTGTAGGTGCTGCTGCTTTTGGGTCTGGACCAGCTCTTAGGCCCAGGTTAATTCAGACTGCTCATCCAGGTAGTGGTTTGGGTCTGAGACCACCAGAGCCCCTCCTTCTCGGAGGGATTCTAGTTTGAATAGCTCTTCCACTAGCTTCTGGAGACACGGCTGGTGTTGGGTAGGAATTCCACCCATACTCCAACACCACGGCCGAGCCTTTGATTAGGGCAAAATTAAGATGACTTCGCTACAAGATTCCCGTGGGCTGTGTGGCTCTGAAGCAGCGGGGGGAGCAGAGCTCTTGCTCCGAGACAGCCTCAAACAGCTTGAGCATATTGCACCACACTGGTGCATTCATCTCCTGTCTCACGTCTGACATGTTGCCTAATGTCCAAAAATGTCTGTAGCCTCTTGTTCCTTCCCATAGTATTTGCCTTTCATAAAACCTGACTGAGCTGCCAATTGCTCCAGGGGGATGAACATAGTCTTAGCTACTGGATGGAAGCTTTAATCTGTGTCTGTAGCAGGTCGGTGTGGTTTAAGCTGGCCAGAAACGTGGTGGGATGTGGTTGGCTCCTTTGTCAGGATCCTTACGGAAACCCCTGGCGGCAGAGCTGGAGGGGCTGCCTGACCACTGCACCAACAGGAGGAGTGATCCCCAGGGAGGGTCTGCAGCAGGGAGGGGGGAGCGCCTTGCCTCACTCCCACCCGCAGCAGGCTGGGAGGCGAACAGCAGGGTGATGCTGCATCTGTCTCGCTCCTGGGTCTGACTTGATGCTCTTGGAACGGGCTGTGCCTCCTCAGAGCCGTAGCACGTGCCAGATGTCACCACAGGTCCGCCTGCAAGGCACTCCGAAATGAGTAGCCCGTGCTGTCTTTGGGGGGAGGGAGGCAGGAGTGGCTCTTGCCTGTTCTCCAGATTGTTCCGGGGGTCCGGATGAAAGCTGCCTGGCTCTGCCTGCTTCATGTACTCGCTGTGACCACTTGCAGGTATTTGATGAACTGGATAAGCTTGGCAGGTCGCTGACAGAAGAAGCCCAAGACGGAGGCTTTCCAGTCCACGATGGAAAAGGAGACCTACGCAAATGCCCTTACTATGCAGACAAACTAGGTAGGTCGTGGGCAACGACAGAGCTGCCACACGCGTGTGGCACAAGACTCGCAGCACTAACGGTGCTTTCTGTGTTCTAGCAGGCAAGGCAGGGCCCGGCTGCCCCTATCAAGCTGCCGTGGCCCTGGCAAAGCAGCCCCTAGTGCAGCTGATCCTGGCAGCCTGCGTCGCTGTGGCAGCAGGAGCTGCGGCGTGGTACCTCATGTGATGCCGAGAGCGGCGCGTGGCTCTAAATGGGTGGCAAGGGGAGAGGCGCGCCCCGTCCTTCTTCAAACTGTTCCCTTGCTGGTGGTGGTGAGTTGACTGCAGGGTAGAAGTAAGAAAATAAACAAGAATCCTGCGGGACTGTCAAAGACTCTTGCACACTAGTAATGCAAGCACTGTAATATAATGTCTTTAGCTGACTAGCGTACAGGACTGATCCACTGTGAGGATTCCACTTCAGCACTGCCCTACCCGGGCTGGGGCAGCTTTTAAGTCTAGAGATGTCTTGTCCTGTACTGGCAAAGGCTTCACATGCTTGGCTTTTCATCTCCTTCCCAGGGAGCAGTCGCTGGAGCCAGTTTCCTGCCCTGGGCTGCAACCCGAGAAGGCGTCATCGGTCTTTTCAGTCAAGAGCACTCGGTTTCTTACCCTGAGAAACTGATGTTTCAGTCGTGCTGCAGTGGCTGTGCCATGGGGCCATTAGCTGGAAGTGCGGTGTCCCGGGGCACCAAGCCTAACTCGTGTTGGAGGAAGCTCCCTGGGGCTGGGGACAGGACCGGGTGGGTGGGTGGGGGTGTGAAGGTGACAAACGTGTATTGTTCAACATTGGGGTTGTGGGGTGGTTCGTTTGGGTTTTTGCCTTGACTGGAATAAAAAGTTGCAATGCTGTAGCTGCGGAAAGCCAAACGCGTGGCAGTGGGAGAGTGAGCGAACTGTGCCGCGAGGTGTGGGTCTGTGGGGGGGAGGAGGTTAATGGGGAGGAGCGGAGGGGGTACAGACTCCCACGCTGTTGTACTTGTCTCTTTCTCACTCGTGCAGTCCCAGAGATGCTCCTGCCCTTACACCCCACCCCATCCCTGCTGCCTCCCCTTGGGTTTCCCCCAGCTCCTGGGGGGAGGGGACCCACTGCCCCTGCTCCAAGGGCACAGCCAGGCACTGCGATGGCCCGGGCCTTTCCCCTGGTGAGGGGGCTCCTGCTCTGCTGGGGGTGATGCTCCCCTGGAGGCAGGGGAGGTGCTCTGGGATCACACAGCTGCCCCTTGCTCTCTGGTTCCTGGTACTATGCTGGGCCTCAGGAAGGACCTGGGCCTGGTGCCAGCGGTACCTCTCTGCCTTCCTCCAGCCCAGTCTTGCGGGGTGTTTCTCCTCTTCAGCTTGGGCACAAGGAGAGGGGCTGCCTCAGCTGCAGCTGAGGGCTGGGTAGGGAAAGCTCCCGTTACCCCCGGGGCCTCTGCTGCCCTGCGCTGGGGTAGGGAAGCTGCTGCTCCTCCTCCAGTGCTTGGCACTGCTGTGCCCCCCTCCCCCATGCCATCCCTCCTCATCCTCGGCTTCCCAGGGGGGCAGATCTGCTGTGGGTTGGGGGAGAAGAAAAGACGAACACGGAGTTCAGGGTCTGTTATTTATTTACATAAAAACACTGACTCGTGCCACAGTTCTGCCTCTGAGCAAACAGCAGCTGCCCGTGCAGGCTGGGCTGTGTTTGCAGACCTGCGTACTGAGAGACCCCCTGCTTCGCTCTGGCGGCTGCAGGCACCAGCTGCCCTGGCTGCAGGGGCCAGGGGAGGGGTAGGAGGAGCAGCCGCAGAGAGGCTGAAAATGGCTCCCAGATCCTCTTGCCCTCGTCTGTTATAGTGCTGCTGGCAGCTCCTGTCACTGCCCGCTTGCCCCCTTCTTTCTGCCCCGTATCAAGTGAGCTAAAAATAAACCCCTACACCCACATGCAACGAGGAACCCCACAGGGTGCAGCTGTGGTGGTGGCAGGACGGGCGCTGCAGGGTGTGTGCCCGCAGACCCTGCCGGGTTCGGGACGTGGCTCTGCAGTGGGTGGGCATGGGTCTGCTCCAGAGCTGCGAGCCAGCTGCGGCCTGGTAACAAACTCCTCTAATCTACAGCACCGGGGCAGGTAGCGACATGCCGGATGCGTTTTCGCTAACAGTTTGCCAGGTGGGCGAGGAACTGCCAGGGGCTTTCCTTTGCCGAAAGAGCCACAGCAGGGGCTGGGAGGAGGCGCATGCAGCTGGAGCAGCCGTGGCCACCAGGCGCTGGCAGCCGCTCCGGCAGGACGGAGGTGCTGATTAAGGGTGCAGTGCTGCAGTCCCAGGGCAAGGCAGACGCCGTTTTCCCCTCCACCGTGCCTCGAAGGCGGCTCTGCCTGCCTCTCCTTGGGAAGGGGCTTTGCCTACGGGCTGCACGCTGACCCTGCTGGAGAGGGCCGTGAACCACGCTGAAACCTGGCACGCGTGGCACTACCCTCTCTCTTTAAGACCGAGCCACCACCGAGCCCCTTCCTAAAAGTGCCACAGGGGCCATGCTGCCTCCCCCTGTGTGCGCTGCGGGCCACTCGGGTTCCCCCCTTTGCCTCCTGGGTGGCAGGTGCCCCCCTGCCTGCAGCAGCTCCCTGTGGCAGCAGCACACCTCTGCAGCCAGGCACCCCTGCGCTGGGGTTGTGGCTGCACACCCCTCTGCGGCCAGGCGCCCCTGCGCTGGGGTGCTCCAGGCGAGAGGGGCCTCGCTAGTGCCCTGGCACGTAAGGGGGTGCAGAGGGATGCCCACACAGCACGTGGGGCCTGGGCCCACCTCCCCTGTGCACCCACGCCAGCGTTGCCAATCCAACTCTTCACAGCGAGGACCGGAGCTTGGGGAAGGTGGTCGCAGCTCTGAGCGGGAGGGAGCTGGGGATACACACATACACACCACCGGAGGGTTAAGCAAAGGAGTGTTGCACACGCATAGACTAGGATGGCAGCGGGAGAAGGGCCGGTGTCATTCCAGTGGCTCGGGCTCCCGGGGTGCTGTTAGCACATGCGCTTGTACGTGTAGATATAGGCCTTGCAGTTGGGACACGTGTGTGTCACATCCTTGAAGTCATCGAACAGGCAGGGGATCAGGCAGCAGCAGAGATCACACCTGGAGCACAGGAAGAGGCAGAGTGCTGTGAGCTCGGGCACCCCAGAGGCAGCTCGTGGGCACAGCCTGCGGGCGTGGAGGTGGGGCGGGGGCACACATGGGGTTCGCTCTGGGGCATGGGCAAGAGAGGCGAGTACTTGCCCCTGGGAGCCAACCATGACCCCTGCTGCTGCTGCTGCTGCTGCAAAGGGCAGCACAAAGCACCCTGTCCCCGGGGTGTGCTGCTGCCGCCGCTACAAGGGTAAGCGCTTCGTTAGTGAGCAGTCGTGCACCTCGCAGAGGGAAGGGACAGCCTGGTGAGACACACGCAGGCCATGAGGCCTGACCTACCTCCACTGCTGGGGCAGGGGGCTGCGACAAGCGCTCCCTCCCCTCCCGTAGCCCCCGTTGCTGCCAGCCCTCGGCTGCGAGGAGAGACCGTGGCTCTCAGCAGCGCCGCGGGTTCTGGGCCGGGGGATGGACGGCTCCTGCACAAAGGCCCTCTGATGCCAAGCTACACAACAGGCCTTCGGTGGTGGCACCTTCCCCTCCCCAGGCAGGAGCCCCGGTCTCCAGGCACTGTCACCCGAGGAACCCAGCTGCTGCCCCAGTAACACCTCAGTGCCGAGGCCCTCTCCACGCCCAACAGCTCGGCCAAGGCCACCGGCATCGGACCACCAGGACCAGGGCAGAGCAATCACCATCACTGCAGGGCTGCTGGCGGCAGGGAGGCCCCAGCTCCGCTTGCAGCACCTACCCCACGAAGCAGCAGAAGAAGCCAAGAAGAAAGCTCATGAGCCCGATCTCGTAGGTGATCTTGGTGGTGATGGCTTGCTGGCAGTGGGGACACACCGTCTGCACGGGGGCGCCCTGGAAGATCTCTCCCTGCAGCACCGTCACTGTGGTGGCAGCCCCTGACGGGACGAGGACTGTCGCCGTGTGGCCACCGGGAGAGGGGTAGTGGCCCGGGGCAGGGTAGTAGCCCATGGGGGGGTGAGGGCCTGGGGGTGGGTAATAACCTGCTGGGAATGAGAAACGTGCAGAGGTGAGCGTCGCTGTATGCGGCAGGAGAGGCCGGATCCTGGCCCCACCCTGCTGCCACACCACCACCTTGGTTATGGACTTGGGGCCAACCCTGCTGCAGGCACTGTGCCCCCCCACCCCACCCCGAGGAGCCTCGCTGCAAGCTCCAAATGGCAGCCCCAGCCCCCCGCTGCGTCCCCCCACGGCACCGGGAGACATGTGCTTCCGGGGGACACACATGTGTGTCCTTGCCCATCACCACCCCCTACTTCACGCAGCCCCCCGCAGTACTCACCAGGCGGCAGGTAGGGCCCGGAGCTGTCTGTGGGCATGTGGGGTGGCACAAAGCCCGGCTGCGAGGGTGGCTCGTATGGGGGGGGCCCAAATTCAGGAGGGGGGATGGGAACCCCCTGGGGCTGTCCCACGACAGGGGCGACGCCATCTGAAAGGAAACACAGAGTCAGCAGCCAGGGCGGGAGGCGGCAGAGCTGGTGGGGAGATGGTGGCTTGGCTGAGTGGTCTGGGGGGGTTGGCCCCAGCAGGGAAGGGAGACACGACATGGGGTGGGGGGCAGCCCCCAAGCCTTGTCCTCTGGGCCCACAGGAAACCCAGATTCACCCCACGTTACTCACAGCAGCGAGCAGAGCCAGGCTTTGAGCAGGGAGCGCTTTCTGCTCTTGTCACTTCCCCTGGGACCTCCTGCCACCCCCGGAGGGTAACATGGTGACAGACAGAGCCGGGCATCGCACCACCCTCCCCAGCACACTGCAGGGCAGAGCTGCAAGGAGAGGCCACGGCGCTCCCAGGGAAACCATGCTCACTTGGCTCCTGCCCGCTCGGCAGTGTCACCCCGACACCCCAGAGCAGCTGGGATCCCCCCCCAGTACCTGCCGCGGGCGGGGGGCCATGCTTCTCTTCTATCAGCGGTGCTGAGGGGCCTCCCGGGTAGGGTGGCGGAGGGTCGCTGGACATGGCTCAGGGCGGCCCTGCAAGGACAGAAGCCTTTAGAAGAGACGCCAGCCTTTGGCCGCACACAGGCACCCGCCCAGAGCTGCGTGGTGCTTGGGGAAGGAGGTAGCAGGTAACGGAGGGGTCCGGGGCTGGCACCACCGCTGCACTGGCCTCAGCCCCCCGCCCCAGGCAGAAACAAGGCCATGGCCCCAAAGCTGGACAGGCTTCAACCCAGGCAGCAAATCCAAGGTGTAACATCTTCCTGCCGGCTCCGCAGGGCTTTCCCCATAACGCCCACGCATGGTGCAAGAGCAGCTCATCGGTGCGGCTCTCAGCTGCATTGCCCACGTGCTGGGGCAGTACTGGGCTGGAAGCTGCTCTGCCAAGCGCCTCGGCTGCAGCGTTACGGGACCAAAGATGGGGAAGAGCTGCCCACGTTGCCCACAGCCCCCCCAGCTCCACCCAGCAGAGTGATATGCAACGCTGTGCCCTGAGGGGATGGGCAGGACCCCAAGCCTGAAGCACAAACTCTGAGGTGGAGGGCGCAAACCCACAGAGCGCATCTCTGAATACTCTCATCGAGTGAGTTAAGGTGAAACCATCTTTAACAGCTGGAGACATTATTTTACCTGGGGTAAAATTTACCTGTCCTCTTCCTTGCAGCAAGGAGCTCAGAGGCCTCGACAGAGCTGAGAAAAACAATTCTTCTGCGCAGCGTATTTTGGAAGCTGTCTTACCCCACCCAATCTGTGTGAAAGGAGACAGCGAGAGAGTTACAGCGATGGAGAGGAGCCACTGCTACAGCGCTGCCTTGGCCGCTACGCCAAACCCCCTCCCCTCCCTGGTGCAGGCGTGGGGAGAGCGGGTCTGGGCAGGAACCTCCCCACGTGTGCCCCCTCGATGGCAGGCACGAGGCTACGTGTCCTCGGCACACGGAAAAGCCCCACCGACACGATCTGAACACCAAGGAAGTGCAACGACATCAGGAAACCTGCTTTCCCTGTTTACTCTGGCTCAGTTATATCTGGTAGGACGTGACTAAATTGGGAAATACAAATGAGAGGCTGTTCACTCGGTGCTTGGGAAGGCTGCCATCAGGCATGGGACACGGTGACATTGCTGTCAGTGCCCGGGGAGCAGCGCTAGGAGCTCCCCTCAGGGTCTGAGCACAGCTACCCGAACCCCCCACATCCTTCATCCCCGAAGGGCCAGGAGCAAATGTGACCCTGCTTGTCCCGTTTCCCTTGGTCTCCTGCTCTCCTCGAGGCAGGTCAGCCTGCTGCGAGGACGGTGCTTTCTCAGCCGGTCCCACAGGTCCCATTCCAGCAGCCCCTGACTGAGCAGGAAAAACGCACCCGGGCTATGACCAACCTGTAAAAATCCCACAGGCACAACCAGGGCAGCTCTGGACCCAAAGAAATGGCCGGAGCAGGCGTGGCTGCCACATTACCAACCCCAGGCATGACCAGCAAGGCTGCCCCACAGCCCTGGTGAGGCACGAACCGCCTGCCCAGCCCCAGAGAGCTCGGGGCCGAGGGGTGCCGGAGCAGGGCTGAGCCAGGCAGCACCCCGCTGGGGTCACTGCTTAGGCAGCGAGGCTCCCTCCAGCCCTGGCACCGATGCCACGTGCTGGGCAACCTGCCCGGGGCACACCAACCTCCACGGCACGGCACAGCACAAGCCTCCACGGGCACCGGGCCAGGCAGCGAGCGCTGCCCATCCTGCCTGCGTTGCAGGTGTGCTCAGAGGGGTGCCCGGGGGGCACAGCCACCTCCGCCTGCGGCTGCTGGGCCAAGGGAAGCCAAGGCCTCGGCAAACACGGGAAGGAAGACCCAGCCCTCCTCAACCTGCTTGGCTTTGCTTTATTCCACTCCTGTTTTTCTAGCTCACGCTCCCTGCCTCCGAGCAGCCTCCTGCAAGGTGGCAGGAAATCTAATCAGGTCACAAGTCTGCAGCAGAGCACCATTACCCCTTGCTGATCATGGAGCGGCATGCTGATCCCCCCAGGAGATGAGCAAAGCCTGGACCGGCATAGGGTCTCCCCGGGATGTCCACATTTACTGACTAATATTTCTCCCCGGAGGTCTTAAATGTTATGTTGCAGACACACAGCGTCAAATCCAAGGGTGGCTGGGGGTCATCTTCCTCCTGCTTTTCTCTCCAATTTCTTCCTTAAGAGCCAGGGGAAGGAGAGCCGTCCCGTGCAGCAGGTACGGCAGAGCTGCCGTGGCACAGAGCGCTTCCAGGCGGAGGAAAGCACCCGAAGTGCAGCGCATTGCAGAGCCCTCCTTCTCCTTCAGTGACCTACAAAGCTACAAATTGGGCCACGCTCTTTTTAGCTTCACTGGGGATGTAAAGAAAAGGAGGACTTATTCTTCTGAAAGTAGCCAGCTGACCCACCCTGCACACCCAGGAGCCTCAGACCTTCCTGTCCCCATGTCTTCAGGGCTCCTGGATGAGCCCAGCCCAACCGGAGCATCCCCGAGTCCTCACCTGGGGACGCCGGCCTGCCGGGGAGCTTTCCTTGCCCTCGCAGGCCAGCTGAGCCCACGGCTTTTCTAATGTAACAGATCTCCTCCCATTACCGCTCAGAGGCTGCCTTCCCATAACGTAACATCTTTCAACACTCCCCGGCCTTACTCCCCCCCGTCATCAAAGCAGCTGTTGAGAAAACTCAGGAGACGAGGAGACCAAGAGGCAATCCCACCCACGTGCTCCACCAGCCGCTCTGGAAACACCCGCCAGATGAAGCAACAGCCCCAGATTGAGCCAGCAATTAATCCTGCCACCTTGACCAGCAGGAAAAGGCAGCCACGAGGGCGACGGCCAGCGGACCTCAGAGCCACGCGGGTACTGGCATGAAGGAAGCTGCAGGGGCTGCAGAGCTGTTCTGCTCGTGCTTGGCAGACTCAGTCACTCTTAATGCAATATTCTGCTTATTAAGAGAGATCCGTAAAGAGCAAGATGTTGGCTGTGTGCCCTTCCCAGGAGGAAAAGAAAGCCTGTTGCTTTTAAGCCTCTTAGAAGCCGTTTCTCCTGTGCTTTCTTTTATCTTAACGTGAGAAGCACAAAACCTGCCCCAGCCCATTTCCGCCAGAGAGCTCCGTGGGGAGCTGGAGGGCACAAGGCTTCCCCTCCGTGCTGGGTCGGGAGCTACCCCAGGACATCACTCGCCGCCCTGGCACGGACGACCCTGCAAGTATTCCCTCTCAAAAGCAACGTGGCCAAAGCAAAGCAACCCAGATCTTCCCCCTCGTATGGCAGCACGGAGAGGCAACCTTGCTCTCAGGAGCTAGCTAGCAGCACCCCTGCGAAGAGGCAGAGTTTCCCTGAGCAGCACCCACCCAGCGCAGGAGAGAGGGGACCCTGGAGCGTGCCCCACCGGGAGGGCCCTTCTGGGCTGAAGCAGGTTGATGGTAGCTGGGCACAGGCAGGTGAGCTGGGAAGATCCAGCCGCTAAACAAAAACACAGCAGTATTCTGCATCAAAACACGATCCCCAGAAGCACGTAACAAGGACTCTTGCTGCTGGTCATTTCTGGTTTTACCCACCAGCTTTCAGCAAAGCCAACTTACTTTGCTCCCTCTGTCTTGCAAAAGAGAAACAAGACTTCTCCTGCCCACGGCACCGCCACAGAGAGACGGACTTGGGAGTCGGGTGGCAGCTCACAGCAGAGACTTCACGGCACGCAGAGCCTGGCGTGCCCTTCCCAGGGAGGACGCCCCTGGCAGGCCGCGCTTTGCCCCAGGATCTCCAGCCAGCCACGCCAGCAAGACGAGCCATTCTGCCAGCATTCTACAAAGCTGTCCCACGTTAACCATTCTGGTTTATTAAAGCTGAACCACCAGTGCATTTCTGTGTCATGAAAACAGCTTAGATCAAACTATCTGTTCTCACATGGGAAGAAACGTTCCCAAAGCCTGCGGAAATTGCATCCACACTAGGGCTTACTGGAATAACCATGCCCATAGACCAGCTGAGCACCTAGGGAAAAAAATAAGAGCTTGACAAAAAAATTAGGCTAAGTTTACCAGGCTTAAGTTCAAGATCTGATGGAATCACCAATGTCTAGTGCAGGTCCTTTGGGAGCAAGGACCCATCGCAGGATCACAAGACTCAAAAGCAGTCGGTTACCAGTACAAGGATGGACAGAGGAGATGCTATTTCCAGCTAGAAATGCAGATTAGTTCTTCTTAACTGGAAGAACAGTTTTTACTGGCTCCTCTACTTTAAACTAACAACAGAAGATGAACCCACCACGCCATTGTTGCAAACACTGCTCCCGTTAAACGCAGGAGACAAGCAAAGAGCCCCCATGGGCTGGCAGCGTGACAAACCAAGCGGAACAAGGATCAGAGGACAGAGGGGACCCGCTGCATCAGCCCATCCCTCTTTCCCTCTCTGGGGACAACACCCCAAAACTTCCCTTCACATGCCAGCAGTGTGCAGGCCGTCCTGCTCCTGCTATTCCCGTGGGAAGCCTGTTCCAGGCCCCCACTGCTCTGACGGCCTTACAGTTTCTAGTTTATTTGTAGCCAGATTACACTCATCTGTCCTTGAGCCTGAACAGCTTTCCTTCGCTCCCTGCTTGCTGCAAACAGCCATCATGCCCTCACTCAGACTTTGTTTTGCTCAGCTGAACACACCGAGCTCTGGCGGGGTATTTCTTGCACTGTGTTTTCAGTGCAAGCCCGTTATCTCCCTCAAGTCGAGATCGGCGACCTAAAGTCGTGCTCAGCTCTGGCGACGGCAAGCATCACCCATGCTGGCCCACTCTCCGGCGCGTGCTGCTGCAGTATGGATGGGACAGCAAGCTGTGGCTGGTCTCGCTGCTCCAGCAAGCTTCACCTGCCCCGTGGCACTGCTGCGGGACTGCATAGGCACACCCGGTCACTCCTCATCCTCCCCTACCGTCTCAGAGCTTGCGGCCTTTATGGGTGGCTTGGATTCAGCGTGGACACGAGGGACTAAACCACAGCTGCATGGGAGCCTACACACAGGCTAGGCTGGAGCTTTGCTGAAGAAAACAAAAGATCCAGATTCCCACCGCTCCCGTTAGCCCTGCCGGGGCACAGCAGCATGACAGACACAACCAGGAGAGCATGACTCCATCACAGTGGGCTTGGCCCACCCCAGCTACGGCTTCGATCCGTGCACCCTCCCCTACAGCTGGCTCTGTGCTCCCTGGTCGACCCAGGGTCTCATTTCAGGTAGCTTTTGGGTGAGGAGAAGAACGAACAGCAGGTCTCTGGATCCCCCCAGACCAGGGCGAAACTCCCGGCCCCAAGAGGTCTGTCTGAGGTTTCTCTACAGCAGTGAGCACAGCCAAAGAGCCGGTGGGCAGCACGCAGTCCTGCATACAGAAACACAAGGCTTTCTAATCCGCCTCCTTCCCATGCTCAGCGACCCTGGCTCTAGTCAATTAGGGATCGATACCCCAAAGCCCACGGTTCCCATTACTGACACATCCAAAACTGGTGACCACGAAGGTCTCCCAGCTGCTTACAGCGGCGATGAGAGGGGCTGATGCATTAGGGTCCAGTGTTCCCCGCTGGCTGTATTTCCCCCTGCTACATCAGACAGCCTCACTGCGGAAACAGTTCGGGATTCAAACATGGCAAGAGGAAAGGTCTGCCCACCCAACCTGCTCTCCAAATAGGTATGTCATCAAAATCAACTGAAGGGTGGCATGTAGTGGGACCAGGGAACAGGTAACATCGTGACAGGTCCTAGCTGAATATATGCTA